CAAAACACACATCGGCATTTCACACAGCCCTACTGTACAGTAGTGTTAGGCTTCTTTGCTGGGCAGGGTAAATCCTGGGTACTGGTTCTTGCTGCCAGAATTGCTTATATATTTTGGATGAAAGAAATGACTAACTAGTATTGGAGGCAGTAGCCACAACTGAAACTGAAAAATCTCAGAAAGGCAAAGTATTCTAAGTGGAGAACTGAATTAGCATAGTTTGAGTGCTTCCAGTGGCTGAGCTAACTCAAGTAATTCTGCATAACACCACATTGTGCCATTTGGACATATGTTGAAGGGATCATAATCTTATCTCTTTATCCTTTTATTTAGTCTTCCTATGATCTTAAATTGTGTATGACATGATCTTTCCTTTCGTTCTGGTCTATAACCAGGAAATCAACTTGGGGTGTGTGCAGACATTCCTAGGACCCAGTGTACAACCAGGCAGCTTACTTTAAATTGTGTGATTGTTGATCAAGTCCTCTGCTTGTACAGACATTTGTTGGTGCCAGGAGCCACATCAGGAACTCTATTTAAATAAACTGGGCTGGGGGGAAGGGCAGACAGGATGGTGGGGTGGGGCTGGTGTGTCCACTGGTTGTGGGTTTGGTGGGGTGGGGGTGCTGGTTGGTGCATGGGAGGTTAGTAGGTCCACATGGAAGGGGGTTGTCTGTCTAAGGATGTGGGGAGTTAGGGGATTAAAATCACCTTGATCAGGGTGGAGGGGATAGGAAAAGCATAGCTTCAGGGCTGGGGCAAATGGCTGGGCTTTCCCAGCCTTGGGATTGGTTCTGAAAATGGTACAAACATTTATTAGATTGTGCTAAACTATGTCTGATCTAACTTGGTTCACTTCCTTAGGTGAACTAAGTTAGATTGGGCTGGCCAGTTTTTGCTCTATCTAAATTCCCCAACCATCTATACAGATCATCATTGAGATGAACCTAACCCTATTTAAGTCAATCTAAATGTAACATCTGCACATACCCTTTGTCTTCTCCCTGTTTGTTGCCTTACACATTTAGGTTTTATCCAAATTCTGTTTTTGGTCAAAATTAAGTTCCCAAAAGTTCCAAAATAAATTAGTTTTTGTGTCTGACTAGTGAACTTTGTGTCCAGAACCTTTTCATCTTTCTTAAACTCTTCTCTTCTAGTGCTTTTGTGATATAACACTCCCATCATCTCCTGGTCTGTTGATTTATATATGTAATTCCTTCTTTCTACTTTTATTGTCTCCACCTCCTGCATTCCCTTACATTTTATGCTCATTGTCCTTGCCTTCAAAGGCTTCCTTCAACTGTTCCTTACTTATCTGTTTCTGTCTCTTTTCAAGCCAAGTAAAGTCCCCTTTTATAAACACCGAGGGTCCCCTCTGTATGAATAGTCTTTTTAATCACATCTTCAGGTAACTACCCTCTTACATGAAACATTTTGGTCATGTTGTCTATAAGAAACTAACCAGCCAATTAGGAGAAACATGAGATAGCTTATATGTAATTGATAAAGCAATTATGTCATTGAAATACTATTATTATTACGAAGTGGCAAATTGCTGCCTATGTTAATGCATTATGCATGTCTTTTCTGCACTCTCCTTATCTATTTGCTTGTTTTGCCATTTTAAAATATAAGTTCTTTGAGGCACAGACTATGCTTTCAGTTGTGTTATACAGTACCAAGCACACAGTGAGACCTACTGGAAACAAGTAAATGAGAGCATTATGTTTTATCTTTTGAGAAGCTGGTCCTAACATCCTTCCAAAAGTAAGCTGAGTTAAAGAAACTCAAAAATTAGTATCTCACTGATGCTTTTCACTGATGCTTTTCACTGATGCTGACTCAAACAGATACCAAGGAAATAGATGTTTATTTTTATTTAAGCTTATTAATTATTGACTCTGTACTAATGTTATATGACACTATAAAATGGCATTGCAGATTCTGGAGATCCTGGAATTTAATTTATTTATATGCATTAGCTTCAAATACAAAAAAAATGCCTAAGCTTTTGTTAGGAGGTTATTCCTTATGTGTCTAGAGCTTCCATAATAGTCTCATATATGTTATAATTACTGGGTAAAATTTGATGATTTGTTATGCAAGTCAGTGCAGATGATCTCAGTGATTCCTTCTAGCCTTTAGACCTTTAAAATTATTTCCAAAACAAATTCTTATTCTCTTTGCGTCTAACAACAGACACAAATGAGTGCTGCAAAATTAATTATGGTTACCCTTAGGGATTATATATTTCCAGCCAGGATCAGGAGCTGAAGAACGAGAGAAAGAAACACATTCCTTTTAATCACATTTACAAGGTATTCATGGACCACTTTTCCCCTCAAATCAGCACCAGTGCTAATGGATCCTAGCTTGCTAATTTAGGCAAGTACCTTTTCTTTTGCCATGAAGTGTTGATGTTCACAGGAAAAGTAAGCAATTTTTCAGATTGCACGTGCTGCAAACTGCATAAAAACTAAACTGAACATGATAAATGTTACAAGTATGAGGTCATTCCTACACTGACATTTGCAAGTTACACAGTGGCCATGTATAGACACTTAGTTTCTTCTGAGAGTTGCTATTCTCCTGGTAGAAATCAAAAGTGTGCGGATGCTCAAGCTTTTTCTCCTGAAGCAAAAATGGTTCCTCTGGGAAAAAGACAATGTAGAAATTGCTTCTGGGAGACCATAAGGAATGAAGCTAGGGGAGAGGTTCCTATACTTTCCAAAGACTGGGGTCCTCCATTCTGGAGCTGCTCTAAACCTGCCTGTAGACTAGGACGGGAGAAGAGAATCACAAGCTGTTCTCTGTCTGCTTCTCACTACAGAGTTCCTAGTGTAAGAAGCAAGCAAGGGTTTTGCTGTACTGGTCTCTTTTCTCAGAGCCCTCTGCCTGCTTTTCACACTACAGCCCCCTGTGTAAGAAGTGGGTAGGGGTTGTGTCCCACTACTGCAGTCTCTCTGGGAATGGGAGGACTGGAGCATCCCATACTTTCCCAGACCAGAATCAACCTGGTCTCTGGAAGACAGAAGGAGTAGGGGAGAGGGAGAGGTTGAAGATCAGAAGTCTTATACATAAGACATTTGTCAAATATTTCATAGGTAAGC